GGGGAAGGGATAAGTAGGCAGAGCACAGAGGATTTTTAGGTCAATAAAAATACCGACACCATAAAGATGGATACATGTCACTATACATTTGCCCAATCCTACAGAACGCACAACACCAGTCCTAAGGTGAACGATGGATTCTGGGTGATTATGCTGTATCAGTGCAGGTTCATCAGTTGTAACAAATGCCCCACTCTGGTGGGAGATGCTGATAAAGGGGGAGGCTATGCATGCAGGTGGGGCAGGGAGTAAATGGGAAATCTCTGTAGCTTCCCCTCAGCTTTGCTGTGAACCTAAAACTGCTCTGAAAAAAAGTGTTTAAAAAAAAAAAAGTTCTTTGAAAGAGAAATGGGTGGATCTCATACCACTCACCCTATTCAACATTCTACAGTGGTTCCCCACTGCTCTGAGAATAACCAAATACCTTTCTGTGGCCTACAGGCTGTGTGGTCTGACCCCTTCCTGGCTCCCCCATCACATCTCCACCTCTCTCCACTCATCCCCCAAGCTCTAGCTCCACTGGTCCACCCTGCCCTCCTCAGGCTTCAGAATTGACTACTCCCCCTACGATCGTTCATCTCTCTCCACACACCAGGCTTCAGAAAGGCCTTCCCTGATCAGACCACTTACAGTATCCATTAGTCCCCTCCTCCTTCTAACATATCATCTTGTTTATGTCCTTCATAATTCTTATCACAACCTTTAATTACTTTATTTGATAAACAGTTTAATGATCATCTCTCTCATGAGAATGTAAGCAACATAAACCCTCTCTTGTTTACCACTGAAAAGCCTCGTACGTTAACAATATCTTTGGCATGGAGTAGATGTTCAGTAAAGATTTGTTGAATGAATAAGTAAAATGTTAACTTCAGGTCTTACTGCAAAAGAATATTCTCAATCCAATCTTTAAAATCAATAATGCTTCCCTGGTTCTGAATATTTCCATTAAAAATATAAAACATCAAAACATTCTTCTTTGAGGCAGGATAATTCTCTCCCCCATTAGCACCACAATCCCATACACCTGGAAGGTGAGAGCTGACCTTCACGCTGACTGATAGCACCCAAATGCCGGGTGGGCAGTTTTTAAAAACTGGAGCTAGGACTAATAACACATAGTCTAAATCATCCACTTAGTACAATGATCGGAAGTTGCTAATGGTTTAAGCATTCTCTCCAAAATCTCTAGGAAATGACAGTTAGTCACTCCCTGTTGCAGGGTCTTTCTTTTTTTTTTAACATCCTTATTGGAGTATAACTGTTTTACAATGGTGTGTTAGTTTCTGCTGTACAACAAAGTGAATCAGCTATATGTATACATATATCCCCATATCTCCTCCCTCTTGTGTCTCCCTCCCATACAGTCTATTTTTAAAGTCTGGCTACAACATCCACTGTTCTTTTAAATGTTAAAATCTTATGGCTGAACATAATGAGATGGAGGCAGTCATTTATCTTCCAGATGAGGTTTTGTCACTTTTCTGATCCCAAGCCCGCTGGCTAGCCAGTGCTCAGAGTCTAAAGCCTGATGACAGCATGAAGTTGAGCAGTTCAACAAACCGGTCCGCATCCAGCTTCATCTCAGGCCACTCTTCCATCCACATACTCCACACTGCAGCCACAGTGAGCTTCCCACCACAGTCCCTGAACACACCATGACCTGTGTGTCTTTGCAAAGTCCCTTTCATTCCTTCCCCGTCCCCCATACACATCTTGCAAGAACAAGTTCTCCACAGGAAGCCTTCAGCCTCCCTCTTTCACAGAACGCTATGAGGGCAGTTATCACAGGGCACCATCATGATTTGTTCTCTCTCTTCCTCAATGGCTTCTTTCTAGTCTTCATCTACATCCTGTTCATCCACAAATTTGCAGCGCTTCAAAAGACCAATAGGGAGTGTGGTACAATCAACGCTCAACACATATATGTTGAATTAATCTCCCTCAAAACACTGTGCCAGAATTCCCCAAGTATGACAGAACAAAATATAAAGCCACTCTACCTCAGTTAAGTCCATCATTATGCAAAAATTCACTGGTCTCTTATGTCTGGATCCAAAGAATACGTTCATTTAAAATTGACACACACTTGGAACAACAGCTCACTTCCACCTCAGCAGTTCACAGAGCCATCAACTACTCCCTCTGGATTCTATCAAGCTCCTTGAGCTCCACTATACCTAGAAATCTCTCCATGCTTGACTCCGAAGCTTGTCTTCATTATGTGTGTAACTGTTTCCTCATCTGTTCTTCACATATTCTAAGTTTAATCAACTGCTCTGCCTGACGCCTGTTTCCTTCCCTTTTTCCTCATTAAGTTCCAGGAGCCATTTTGTTCAAACTACATAGAAGCTAATATGAAATGAGACCTTCCTCAAACTTGAAGTGTAATTTCTCTAAGAGAAAACTGAAAACAAATCCAGTAGGAGCCAATCTTCTATTGAAAAAGACAATGTGACAACAAAATAACTTAAACCTAACAAAAGCTACTTACTAGTCACTCCTTCAGAAGAGGACTTTCCCTATCCCACCACCAGTCTCCAAGCCAGTCCTGAAAACTCAAATAGAGCATCCCCTGTATCTATGCCTGCTGGTTCTCAAGTTTGAAAGTTCCCTGAGGGCAGGGACTGGGTCTGTCTGGTCCACCACAGCATCCCTAGAAGCTGGTATGTGGCTGGCATTACAACAGGCCCCAAATAACTATCTGCTGAATGAACCAACAAGAGATGTTGGGAAAAAAAAAAAAGCAAGGTCAGAGCTTTGTCAAAGTACATTGTAGCTGGGTGAGAGAAAGTACAAAATGCCTTGCAGCTCCTTGCAGGAGTCACTGGTGACCACAAGGGCTACAGTGGCTTTATTCCCAGATTCTGCCCATGCTGGGATCTGGGTTTGGGGATTTCCAGAACTCCTTTCCTTAAAGTTCTCAAGACCTTGGCTACAAGGAGGAAGTTAACCCCAAGGGCAACTGATCACTCCAGCAGATAAGGCAAAGGTGCATCCATGCTGGTACCCCACACTCCGCCTACAAATGTTAACAGAAGCAACAGAACAGAATAAAATTCCTGAATCTCAGCGAGAAAGTGAGGAAGAACAAAGGGCAGGGAAGAGAAAAGGAAGCAGGGTACGTGGGTAAGGAGAGCAGGGGCTAGCCTTTATTGAAATGGACCGCGTGCCAGGCACGGTGCTGAGCAATTCACACGCACTGACCCATTTAACCCTTCCACCAAGCCAGAGCTAGAAACTATTACCATCCCTACTTTACTGAGGATGAACCTGAAGTTTAGTGAGACATCACTTGCCCTGAGCACACAGCTAGGAAGGGGCAGCGCTGTGAGCCGGGTCCGACTCGAGGGTACCCCACTCTTCAACCTGCACTCACTATTCTGCCTCTGAGGCCTTAAGGCAGGACTGGGAGAAGAGTCGTTCATTTATCCATTTAACGAACACTTATTGAGCACCTACTGGGTACATGCCAAGGCGTGGTGCCAGGCGCTGGTGGGCGGATGAAGGGACGGGGACTGAGAGAGGGTCGTGGGATAAGACGCAGCGTTCAATCGTAAGACCACGGAGCTCGGCGCCTCGGGCCGGCGGAGCAAAGGGGATGCCAGGGTGCGGCACAGGGGAGGGAAAGCGCGGAAGGGGAGGGGCGAGCGAGCCGGGTCGCGTGGGGCGGAGGGCCCGCGGGAGGCGTCGGCCGACCCGCGGCGCCCAGGAGGGGTGGGCGACGACTACTCCCTCGGCGGACTGACAGCTTCTGCCGGGCACGCTGCCCGGCGCTTCGTGTGCCATGGCATTCGGCCTCGGCCGTCCAGCACGGGCGAGACGGAGTCCGGGAAAGGGAGCGAAACGGGCAGTGAGACCCTGAGGCGAGGGAGGGTGGCCCAGGGGCTGCGTGAGAGGCGGCGGGAAGGCCGAGGGAGGGGCGCGGGGCCGGGCGGCGGGGCGGGCGGCGTCGCGGGCGGCGTCACGAGACTCACCTCCCGCTGCAGCCCCTCCGGACTCTTCGGCCCGGCCGGGCCGGAGGAGGAGGAGATGAACTCTGAGCCGCGGGGACTGCCGGGAGCCCGTTCCCTGGGCAACGGGGCCGGCACCGACGAGCTGCAGCTGGCTCCGCCGGCGGCTAGAGCGGTAGAGCCACAGGAGGCGGTGGGCGGGACGGAAGTGACGTAGAGGACTTCCTGCGTGCGTGGGCGGGGCTCCGGGTCTCTTTCCTGGGATCTCTGCGGCCAGCATGGAAGGTGCGTGAGAAGGGCAAGTTTCCCCAGGCAGGGAGGGTACCGTTGTTATAGTTTGATCTTCGGGCTGAATGGTGGTCCGTCCCTTGCCCGCTGGCCCCGATCAGACTCTGCGGTCGGCCCGGGAGTCAGTTTTGCCGAGCCTCGATTTTTTCATGTGTAGAACGAGATGATGCAAAGGAGTGTCAGCAGATCCTGACACTCAAATTGTAATTGTCGTTATAAATTAGCCCCAGCGGAGCACTTTCCCTGAACTCCCCTCAGAATTCCCGGCCACAGAGCTTTCTGCTTGTAATAAAAGCTATTCATTCAATGAGCGCTGACTGTGCGCCAAGTCGTGTTCTAGGTACTTTTCAGTGGATCCTCTCGTTTGAGGCGCACAGCGATCCCATGAAGTAAAGTCAATAGGTGGGGAGTCGAGGCTCGGAGGGGATAAGTAACGTAGCCACTATGCTACTGCCCTGCCCTGTGATTGATAGCTGATCTCTTTCCCAGCTAGACTGTGAGTTTCTTGAAGTCAGAATATTGTTTTTGGTTCCTAAATATGTGCTGGGTATGGGTCAGACACGATGAATCACATGTGGTCCTCGCCGGCAAGGAGCCCCTACTGGGGGAGGGAAACCCTTAGAAGATTATAGTACAGGTGGTAAGAGCTTTTTCTCCATTTAACACATTCTAGTCAGCACCTACTACGTGCTGAGATTATGAGAGGGACCAAGACAGTCTTAGTCCCTACTCTGGTGGAACTTAACAGTCTATCAAGGAATGTACTAGACATTAAACAAGCAAATACACCACACTGGTGAGTGTCATGAATGAAGCTGAATGAAGTACAGGGTGTTCCAGATATATAGTGCAGTGAGTCCTTACCCAACCTGTGGATCCAGGAGGACTTCTTTGTGGAAGTGACTTTCTAAAAACCTACATCAGATCATGTCACTTCCCAACTCAAAGCTTACTGCTTGCTTTCCATTGACTTGGAATAAACCCAAACTTATTATCTTGGACTATAAGTTTCTAGCTGTCTGACTGTCTCCTCTCTCTCCATTTCATTCTAGCCACACTGGTCTTGTTCTTTTTCACACTCACCAAGCTCATTCTCACCTTAGGGCCTCTGCTGTTGACTTCTCATCATTCAGGTTTCAGCCTAAATGACAACGTCTCAGGGGTTCACGCTAACACAAGACCCTGTTTTATTTTGTGGCACTTATGATCTAAACTGACGATCATCTAATTGTCTGTTATCCACTTCATCTTTGGAAAGTAAGTTCCATGAAAATGGTCCTGGTCTATCTAATTTAGTCACTTCAGCCCCCACAGCTTGCATAATGTAGGCACTTGGCGAATATTGGTTAGTTGTATAAGTAAAGAGTGAATGAAAAATCAATATGATATTTAAAAGTGGAGCTCCTAGGTAGCCTAAGGATGGGGGCTGGTTGTCAGGGGAACCAGCCATGTGATTAGAGAGCTGGAGCTTTCAGTCCCACCCCCCCCAAACCCCCATCTCCAACATGGCAAGAGAGGCTGGAGGTTAAATCAGTCACCAATGGTCAGTCACTTAATCAATCCTGCCCATGTAATGAAGGCTCCATAAAAAAACAAAAGCAAAGGGTTGTGAGAGCTTCCAGGTTGGTAAACAGGTGGAGACGCAGGGAGAGCGGCACTTGGAGAGAGCCTGTCAGCTCTGTACCCCTGCCCACGTATGTTACCCTATGCATCTCTTCCATCTGGCTCTTCCTAGTAATCTAGTAAGTAAAATGTTTTCCTGAGTTTTCTGTGAGCCACTCTAGCAAATTAACCAAACCCTAGGGAGGGGGGTCTTTGGAACCTCCGATCTATAGCTGGTAGGTCAGGAGCACAGGTGACAACCTGGACTTGAGACAGGTGTCTAAAGTGGAGGCGGGGGAGGAGTCTTACAGGACTGAGTCATTAACTTGTGGAATCTGATGCCAGCTCCAGATAGTGTCAGAATTGAATTTACTGCTTGGTGGTAGTGGGAAAAACACGTTGGAGAGGCCCTTGTGGTAATACATCCTATGCTGGATACTTGCCATGTGCCAGGCCCTCACACCCTCACAGCTTTACATATATGTATATGTTTTATTTGGGGTTTTTTGTGGCCGCGCTGTGTGGCGTGTGGGATCTTAGTTTCCCAACCAAGGATCGAACCTGCACCCCCTGCAGTGGAAGTGTGGAGTTGTAACCACTGGACTGCCAAGGAATTCCCAGCTTCATATATATTATCTGATCTTCACATCAACTCTTTGTAGTATATATATTTTATCCCCATTTTACAGATAGGCACTTTGAGGCTCTGAGAGGTTAACTAACTTAACCCAAGATTGTACAACTGGCATTGACAGAGCTGGGATTCATACCCAGTCATTCTGGTCTTCAGAGTCTAGACTCCAAACTATACCGCCATTGTGTGTCCTGGATTCCTTAAGGGGCCTCTCTCAGAATTTGGACCTTATCCTGTGGGCCATGAGACGCCTTTGAAGGATTCTAAGTAGAGAAGAAGAGAGGGCACAGGAGGGCTGGGAGGGCCCCAACAGCCTGAGTGGTCTGTGTGTTGCTTCCCACAGGAGCTGGGATCTGGGTGAATCCTCGGGCGTTAGCCCGAGGAAGGAAAGAGCTTTCTAGCGGAGAGAACTGCACATGCAAAGGACTTTTCAAGAGCTGTCAGTAGTTGACTTCAGCTAGAGATCAAGGGGCTTCAAGGTCAGGGTTGAGGTGAGTGTTGAGGCAGAGAAGTAGCCGGGTCCTGAAGGACTTTGGACCTCCTCCTGCATTCCTAGTGTAGAGATCATCACCGCATCTCTGGGGTTCAGCTTGCCAGTGTGTTGGAGTGATGAGCTCTGGTGACCCACAAAGCTCTGAGCAAACATCAGGTATCAAAGTTCCAGAGACTGGAGAACGGGCGCGGTAAGGCAAGGGCATCGGAGCCTCACGGCGGAAAGTCACAGTTCCACCTCCTTCCCAACCTTTGAAAGTGGTCAGAGTGCTCGGGGTAAAACTTTGTGGAGCCGTTAAGCTTCGAGAGGATTTGTATATCTGGTGAGACCTAAAAACATAAAAACAATTCCGTTTTGTCTTGTTGCAGGGACTTTCACATTCGTCCACATGTCTTCATTTCCACAACGTGTTTTGTTCAGTGGATGTAGTGTTGCCAATAGTTTTACTGTTGCAAATTAGAACAGTTTGGGTCTTCCCCCCCAACCGTGATCATGAATTTCATAATATGTTTCTTTTGCTCCCTATCAGCAAAGACTCTTGGAAGTGCAACGCCCAGAAAACCTGTCTTATCTGTCAGTGCAAGGAAAATTAAGGACAATGCAGCCGATTGGCATAATTTAATCCTGAAATGGGAAACCCTCAATGATGGAGGTTTTGCTACTGCAAATAATATTGCCAACCTGAAAATCAGTTTATTGTAAGTACCTACAAAGTGTGCTCTGTGTGCTTCACCCTTAACGATTGGGCAGAAATTTCATGGCAGTCTTTTAGAATGGGAAGGGTAGTCTCTAGGAACATGGATAAATTATATAAAGCAAAAAAGCAAGTGATAAAATAACGCATGCAACTATGAACTGTGTGTGTACATTTTAAATGCAAAATTATACTACAAATTGTTCATGGTTACATCTGTATATAAAATTATAAAAATGGATTGGAAAGATACAGACTCAATTCATGACACTGGTATCTTCTAGGGAGAAGCATCACTTCATAATGCTGCATTTTATTTCTGTGGTATTGTGATTTATAGTAAAAAATATATATGTTTCGTCTTTGTCCCTTCCTGACACACGGCTCTTAAAACCTTATAATTTCCTTAGGGATATGAGCAATGGGAGAATCTTTAGTTATGCTGAGATTTGTTCTTTTGTTCTCCAGTTCCTGGAATAGCTCCAGAGTGATAAAGGGGAAAGGAGTCTCCTGTTATCATAACAAACCCCTTTCTACCACACCTGAGTTCATGTTAATGAGGGGGCTTCTGGAAAACCCTAAGGAGGGAGGCAGTAACTACGTGACTAGAGTTGGCACTATCAGCCCCAGCCCCTTACCTCACCTCACCTCTAGGGAGGTGAGAAGGGCTAGAAGTTGAATTAATCACCGATAGCCAATCATTTAATCAATCATGCCTTCATAACGAAGCCTCCGTAAAAACCCAAAAGGACAGGGGTTTGGAGAGCTTCTGGGTTGGGGAACCAGAACGCTCCCGTGTGCCTGAAGGGAAATGTACCCCAGACTCCTCAGGGACAGAAGCTCCTTTGCTCAACCTTCCAGACCTTGCCTTGAGTACCTCTTGTCTACAGGTATATGAATAAAGGATACGAATAAAGATATTGGTATCCTTTAATATCCTTTGTAATAAACCAGTAGTCTAGAAAGTAAACTGTTTTCCTGAGTCCTGTGAGCTGGTCTGGCAAATTAATTGAACCCAAGGAGGGGGTCTTGGGAACTTCCAATTGACAGCTGGTCCGTCCTAAGCACAGGTAACAACCTGAACTTGTGATTGGTGTCTGTAGTTGAGACGGGGGCAGTCTTGTGGGACAGAGCCGTTAACCTGTGGGATCTGATGCTGTCTCTGATAGATAGTATCAGGATTGAGTTACACTGTAAGACACCCAGCTGGTGTCCGGAGAACCTGAGAATTGCTTGGTGTGGAGAAGCGCCCCCCTCCCTTTGATGACCAGGTGTCAGAAGTAGAGAGGGGTATTCAGAGCAGAGGAGACACACAGCAGCATGTTTTCCCTTAGCAGGTTCTTCTAAAAAGACAAAGGAGTACAGATTGCCAACAAACACATGAAAGAATGCTCAACATCATTAATCATTAGAGAAATGCAAATCAAAACTACAATGAGATATCATCTCACACCGGTCAGAATGGCCATCATCAAAAAATCTAGAAACAGGGCTTCCCTGGTGGCACAGTGGTTGGGAGTCTGCCTGCCAATGCAGGGGGCGCGGGTTCATGCCCCGGTCTGGGAGGATCCTGCGTGCTGTGGAGCGGCTGGGCCTGTGAGCCACAACTGCTGAGCCTGCGCATCTGGAGCTTGTGCTCCGTGGCGGGAGGCCGCAGCAGTGAGAGGCCCGCACGCCGTGATGAGGGGTGGCCCCTGCTCGCCGCAGCTGGAGAGAGCCCTTGCACAGAAACGAAGATCCAACACAGCCAAAAATTAATTAATTAATTAATTAATTAATTTTTTAAAAATCTAGAAACAATAAATGCTGGAGCGGGTGTGGAGAAAAGGGAACCCTCTTGCACTGTTGGCAGGAACGTAAATTGATACAGCCACTATGGAGAACAGTATGGAGGTTCCTTAAAAAACTACAAATAGAACTACCATATGACCCAGCAATCCCACTACCGGGCATATACCCTGAGAAAACCATAATTCAAAAAGAGTCATGTACCAAGATGGTCATTGCAGCTCTATTTACAATAGCCAGGACATGGAAGCAACCTAAGTGTCCATCAACAGATGAATGGATAAAGAAGATGTGGCACATATATACAATGGAATATTACTCAGCCATAAAAAGAAACGATATTGAGTTATTTGTAGTGAGGTGGATGGACCTAGAGTCTGTCATACACAGTAAAGTAAGTCAGAAAGAGAAAGACAAATACCGTATGCTAACACATATGGAATCTAAGGGAAAAAAAATGTCATGAAGAGCCTAGGGGTAGGATGGGAATAAAGACACAGACCTACTAGAGCATGGACTTGAGGATAGGGGAGGGGGGAGGGTAAGCTGTGACAAAGTGAGAGAGTGGCGTGGACATATATACACTACCAAACGTAGGGTGGATAGCTAGTGGGAAGCAGCCGCATGGCACAGGGAGATCAGCTCAGTGCTATGTGACCACCTAGAGGCATGGGAGGGAGGGAGACGCAAGAGGGAAGAGATATGGGAACATGTATATGTATAACTGATTCACTTTGTTGTAAAGCAGAAACTAACACACCATTGTAAAGCAATTATACTCCAATAAAGATATTAAAAAAAAAAAGACAAAGGGGTTATGGAAAAAAACTGTTGGCAGTTGCCAATTCTAATTGAAGATTTGCTCTACTGTCTTGCACTTTCCTATATATATGTTTTTGGGTTTTTTTAATCAGCTTTGCTTATGCAAGGCCTCAAAAAATTTAAGCAAGACTCAAGCTTGTTCCTACCCACGAGAATCTTTAGTAAAATGCAAAAGATTTATATGATCTGAAGAGAAACATGAGTATGGATCTATATATGTGTAGTTTTAATTTCTCAAAGTTGTAATTATATATTTGTATATCTTTGTCTACTGGCCAGAGTCTATAGAGTCTTAACTTTCTGGCCTGGGCCCCTGGCTCTTTCCAGTTCTTTCAAACATATCGCACACGTCGGCCCTCTGCCGCCTTTTCCTGCTTAGCAAGTTCTATGAAACAGTTCTTACCTTACTGCGTAAGATGCTCTCTGATATTTTCTATTCTAATGTTTAATTTTTTTCCTTAAATTTCTTTTTTTTTTTTTGACCGTGCTGCACGGCATGTGGGATCTTAGTTCCCCAACCAGGGATCCAACCCATGTCCCCTGCAGTGGAAGCACAGAGTTTTAACCACTGAACCACCAGGGAAGTCCCTAATTTTGTTCCTTAATTGTTGATTGTGGCTCCACTAGATTTATTTCAGGTGCTGTGGGTCACAGCCTTCCGTTTACAAAACGCATTCCTAGCTGGTGGACTCTGAGGAAATGATCCGTCTTACCCCCTGAGGATGCCACAGGGCTGGATTGAGTTGACTTGTTCTAGGGCAGAATTGAGTAGCGGATGGACATATTCGTTGTATATATAAATAACATGTAAACGTGATGACGTGAAACGACGCCAATGGAAAAAGTCGATGATGACATAAGTATATGGATATTGAGTTTTCGAGGGTTCATCACAACAAAATGAAGCGAGCCTGTGGAGTGTATTTTGTTCCCACTCTTTTCCATCTTGTCCAGGAGCAAAGACACGATAGGATTAGAGAGCAGCAGCCTGGCTTCTGATGAAAATGCAGAAAAGGAGCACCCAGAATACAGCAGGGAGCTCGAGATGCTGTGCGAGGGGCTGCAGACCACCCTGGATGCTTTGGTAAGGTGCAGGGATCCTCGGGTGTCGCGTTTGCACAAGCACCTTGCAGCGTTCCACGTGGTTGGTCGTGCTTTCCTTCACCAAGCTTTCGTTTTTCCTTCCTCAACCTCCTCATTGGTCTCTCTCGCTCTACATGTCCCATAAATCTTGTTTCCCAAGAGGCTGTCCTAGACCTTGGTTCTTTTGGTTCTGCATGTTGCCAGGGCAATTTCACCCACTCCCAGGCTCCACAGGAAGTGTGTCAGGCTTTGGGGACCCTGCAGGCACTCTCACCTCTACTCATCGACAGTACAGAGGCGAGTGGGTGCAGCTGTGTTCCCATAAAACTCTATTTATGGATGCTGAACTTTGCATTTCAGATAATTTTCATGTGTCACAAAATATTCTGCTTTTGATTTTTTTTTTCAACCACTTAAAAATGTAAAACCCATTCTTAGCTCAAGGGACACACAGAAATAGGCTTTGAGCTGGATTGGGCCTGTGAGCCTTGATCTCGCACATAAGAGATGCTCTTGTATGTTTGTTTAAAGTCTGGATGTCAGTACCCACCATGCTGGCCACCACATGTGCACGAAACACCTCATCTCAACCAGGGACAGGGATAAGGTTTTGCACATCTTTGAACTAACTAACTAAAGCTTCCCACAAACATAGAAAGTCTGTATAGTTTAACCTTTCTTGATGGAAATGTTTCTAATGTTTTACATGCTTTCTTGCCTTTTTAAACAGAATATGTCAAATATAATTGTATTTCTTCAAGATACCACTTATTCAAAGTTAGGGTTCCACGTATTATGAGGCAGACTATAGGTTTAAGAGCTTTTCAGGAAAGAAGCACTGCCCTTTTAAACATCACATCCATTGTAAGATGTAATGGTTTCTGAAACATTAAAATGAGAAAAATAAATAGTGCATTGAGAACATTTTGGTGATTTAGCCTTTTCTTTTATTGAAATGCAATATTGTCTTCAGGATATTTTGCCGTGTATGGGGCTATTTGTCTTCTCTAAATAAATGATTAGGTTTTTGTAGTTGTCCCGTCTGTTTTGTGATGCTGCCTGTGGGTTGTGCTGTGATAAGAAACACTTGCCCCCCTGCCCAGGCTCTCCACCTGGTGCTCAAGCAGGAACAAGACAGGCCTGGGTCATCAGTCACTTTGTTTTAAGCCCCACTCACAGGAAGGCTGGAGGATAAGGTGTGTGGGTTTGGTGTTTTCTTTGTTTTATCTCCAGGTTCACAGCTGTGTCTCCAGTAGTTGAGTTCTAGACCTAGACTTCTGGACCAGTAGAGAATTAACACAGGCAGAGTAATCAATCGAAATTTCCAGAATGACCCAATTGAAAACTGACCACGTGTATGTTTTTTCCCCAAATTAACCCATTTGATTATGGCAAGTGGTTTTGTTTGGACCAAGCATGGGCACACATATTGTTTGAAAGAGAAGAAACTGAATGGCTAAGTTCCTATATTGAAATATTTTATTTATTTATTTCCTGGTCACACTTAGCTTTTTTTAAATTAATTAATTAATCTATTTATTTATTTATTTATTTTTGGCTGCTTTGGGTCTTTGTTGCTGCGCACGGGCTTTCTCTAGTTGCGGCGAGTGGTGGCTACTCTTCCTTGTGGTGCGTGGGCCTCTCATTGCAGTGGCTTCTCTTGTTGCAGAGCACGGGCTCTAGGCTCACAGGCTTCAGTAGTTGTGGCACGTGGGCTCAGTAGTTGTGGCTCGTGGGCTCTAGAGCGCAGGCTCAATAGTCGTGGCACACGGGCTTAGTTGCTCCATGGCATGTGGGATCTTTCTGGACCAGGGCTCGAACCCGTGTCCCCTGCATTGGCAGGCAGATTCTTAACAACTGCGCCACCAGGGAAGTCCCACGCTTTTCATTGTCAAATTTTGTTGTTGTTGTTTCACTGAAGTATAGTTGATTTCCAATGTTGTGTTTCTGGTGTACAGCAAAGTGATTCAGTTAGACATATAAATACATATTCTTTCTCATATCCTTTTCCATTATGGTTTATTACGGGATATTGAATATAGTTCCCTGTGTATACTGAAATACTTTAAATAGCCAACAAAGTTAAACACACGATGCTGGGCTCAGTCGTTTGTTGTTAGATGTGGCAACACTCCCACCAGAACCTCTTCATCCTTGACCTTCCATCTTCCTTTCTGGCATAAAACATTTCACAGAGGGCTTCCCCGGTGGCACAGTGGTTGAGAGTCCGCCTGCCGATGCAGGGGACACGGGTTCGTGCCCCGGTCCGGGAAGATCCCACATGCCGCGGAGCGGCTGGGCCTGTGAGCCATGGCCGCTGAGCCTGCGCGTCCGGAGCCTGTGCTCCGCAACGGGAGAGGCCACAGCAGTGAGAGGCCCGCACACCGCAAAAAAAAAAAAAAAGCATTTCACAGAATCCTCAAACTGGGTTAAAATGAGAAACACTTTTGACATATACTAATGTGACTTTTATAAAATGTGAAAACCCTGGGAAGGATTTTGTTTCTAATTGCCATTTGGCTTTCTTTAGTTCACAAGTCCTCATTTATAGCTCTGTACCTATGCGCTCCTCGTTAGGGAAGAGCGCCTGTGCGGGACGAGGGGGAAGAGGCATTTTGCCTTCCATTTCAGGCGTGTCAGGAATGACTGACTGGTTTTACTTGTCCATCCTTGGTTCTCCCCATTCTTAAGTGGCTGTCTGGTACCACGGGACCCCTTCCTCAGTCCCACTGACCCGCACGGAGGAGGGACGGCCTGGGAGGATGTTAGGAGGTAGAGTCAAGGTCCAGAACATCCAGCCAGTGGCTTGATGGACTGAGCAGTAACAGGTGACACGTCCTGTCCCTGGTCCCTCTACCCACAGCACGGGTCCAGGGTGAGGGGGCGTAGCCTGGCAGGGCAGCTGAAAGTGGCTGCGAGGTTTTAGGTGACTGTGTGCCCATAGTGACCTGAGTTCCCAAGGTCTTCAGACAAAGCCTGGGCTGACCACGGGTGCTAGTTGTCAGGCCCCAAAGTTCTGCTCCAGTGAATTTATTCTATTTTAAAGTGGTTTGAGGGACTTCCCTGGCAGTCCAGTGGTTAAGACTCTGCACTTTCACTGCCGGGGGTCTGGGTTCGATCCCTGGTCGGGGAACTAAGATCCCGCAAGCCGTACAGCGCAGCCAAAATATAAAGTAAAATAAAGTGATTTGAGAATTAGTTCTCATTCTTAGGTTCAAAACCAATGTTGATGCTATAAGGATATTGATATTATTTTTCCTATTTTCCTCCATCCTTTAGAGAGAGTGGTTTCCCAGACTTGACTCTGTCTTGAATCTGACATTGGTAGAGGGTGGAGGCACCCTTGTCCCTAAGCTGGACGAACATCTCGAGGTGTGGGCTGTTGGCTTTGGGAGGGGACGTGGAGCTGAGACCGTGTCCAGCTGCTGTCAATTTAGGGCTGCACGTGCCTGAGACTTTGATATCGTCATTGATGAATGAGCCCCAGAATGGGGCTGGCACCTCTGGCCCGGTGGTGTGAAGCCTCCAGGATTTTCTTGGCTCTCCTGACCTTTATCAGCTTTTCTTAGCATTAGGTGGAGCTGCTGCAGGACACAGAGGAGAGAGCTCAGGATTGGGTGTCAAGAGACTTGGGGTCAGAAAGCGTGTTGTCAAGTCCTGGCCTCATCCGTCCCTAGCTCAGCAAGCTAGAGAATTTTCCCACCTGTGGTACGGAAATGATGAGTCCTGCCTCTTGGGGTTGGGTCAAGTGACATATCGAACCTGGAAAGATTTGGGAAAGGAGTCTAGTCCTTTAAAAATTAATGTTTGCTAAATTTAGTGCATGCCTCTTCAGATGTAATTGGAGGGTGGTTGAAGGACTAAGTGCAAGGAATTAAGATTTTGACGATTTATATATCTTTGCTTATACCCCCTGTGTACATAAAGCTAACTCCATACTTAGGACCTAGACTTGTGGTCTTAGTAGATCCATGCTCCTGATATCTGGAATCTTTGTTACTTCACCCATTTGTTTTACTTAACAAACCCTTATGTAGCTCTGACCAGGTGCTCAAGTACTAACTTAGTCCCCCGACACCCTGTGGAAGCAGGCACTTTGTGCCGCAGCAGAGCCTGGTGTATGCTGAGGCACCGTTCATGTCACGTCCTCACCATTTCCTTCCTGTGTGAAGTGTGTAGGGCTGCCTTTCGTTATTACCATTTTATAAACAAAGAAACAAGCCTCAAAGAGGTTTCAGTAAACTGGAAACAGAGCAGGACCCTGTGGGTCTCCTGGGCACGGAAGCCTTTCCGTCCCCCCGTTTCTTGTTTGTAGACAAGACTCCAGCCTCCATGACCTTCCCTGAGTTCCAAAGGGCAGGTTCAAACAGCTGCTGAGCAAAGCAAGAGCAGCCAAGAAACCACCTGAGGCAAGATTAAAGGGACCCGAGAAGCTCATCAAGATTAGGAGAGGGGCTTCCCTGGTGGCGCAGTGGTTGAGAGTCCGCCTGCCGATGCAGGGGACACGGGTTCGTGCCCCGATCCAGGAAGATCCCACATGCTGCGGAGCGGCTGGGCCTGTGAGCCATGGCCGCTGAGCCTGCGCGTCCAGAGCCTGTGCTCCTAACTTTAGAGGCCACAACAGTGAGAGGCCCGCATACCGCAAAAAAAAAAAAAATTTTAGGAGAGGACCACCGGTGAGACCAGATTAAAGGAGTGCAGGCCCCACACACACACTCTAATCTTATCAGCAACCCCACCCTTGAGCTGTTGCTATAAAACCCCTCATCAGATCCCCCCCCCCCCCGGGCTGGGACACATAGTTTTCAGGGCAGGAGCCCGCTGTGCCCCCTCTGCCTGGCAGAGCAATAAAGCTATTCCTTTCTACTTCACCCAGAACTCTGTCTCCAAGATTTGACTCAGCACCGGTGCACAGAGGCCAAGCTTTTGGCATTAAACTCAAAGGCAGTTCATAAGAGTCAGAAATGAGGGACTTCCCTGGTTGGTGCAGTGGTTAAGAATCCACCTGCCAAGGCAGGGGACACGGGTTTGAGCCCTGGTGTCCAGGAAGATCCCACATGCCGCGGAGCAACTAAGCCCATGCGCCACAACTGCTGAGCCTGCGCTCTAGGGCCCACGAGCCACAACTACAGAGCCAGTGCACCTAGATCCTGTGCTCCACGACAAGAGAAGCCACTGCAATGAGCGGTCCGTGCACAGCAATGAAGAGTAGCCCCCCGCGCGCAGCAACGAAGACCCCACGCAGCCAAAGATTAATTAATTAATTAATTATTTTAAAAAGAGTCAGAAATGAGCTCATTTAATGCCTCTTCTCTTCTCATTCCATAACAGCGAGAGCCTGCCTTGCCACCCCTCCAGGTCTTTGGTGCTAAAAACTTAGTGATGTTCGGAAATCTTAATGAAGCGGGACCAAATCGTAGCAACTGTCAGTCTCCTTCTCCCTGGAAATTTGCTGCACATGGAGTTAATGGTTTTGGATCATTGGACTTACGATCTCAACAGACTTACATTTCTTAGCTTTGAAATCTTAGAGTTATTGAATCTAAGACAGGATTTCAAATAATAATCTCATATTCTAAATTAATATCTTTTCAGACCAAAATACAGATGAAAATGGAAAAGCTGTCTTCCACTACCAAGGGGATTTGTGAACTAGAAGATTACCATTACGGGGAGGAGAGAAAACGGCCACCCCTGTTCCACACGTGGCCCACAGCCTATTTTTGTAAGTAGTTCTTTCTGCATTGATTTTCAAGGGTAGGTTATGAGAGCATTTGGTGTCATTTAGATCTGGCCCTCTAAGAAGCTGACAGGCTTTGAAATTCAACTGAAGAGAATCCATTGGGAAGGAAGGAGATGAGGACGTCTTAGAGGAGTGTTTCTTCTTGCCTTTAATTACCTACTAATCAGCAAAGAATATTAAATGTAATTAGAGACCCATGAAGCAAGTTGCCATTATTAGCCCTTTAAGGCCAACGGGTAGAATGCACTTTGCCTCCTCTGTAGAGGCAGAAATCTCGTTTTTGTTTCTCAAGAAGGATGGGTTTTTGCTTTTTGTTTTGTTTTATTTAAAAAGTACATGGGTGGGGGGGGGGGTCACTTCAGCCCGCCCCATGGAAGAGGACTGCTGGGAAAACAAACTCCATTACATAAATAAGCTGTGAGGTTAGGGCTGTTATTTTGCTTTATTAGTTTAAAAGAAGGACTAAGCTATTTGATGTTGCTTTGAGACATAAATAAGGGAGAAAATCACCTAATGTAACGTGTTTATTGAACATTGTCAGTTTGAGGTCAATCTGCTATGTATAATGATTGCCATTTCCTAAGAGTCGAGTGGAAAGGTAACAGGTACTTTTTAATTTCATGACACTTATTTACCATGTTATCTGATTCTAACCTGCACTGGCTGGAGCCCTTCTTCCTCTTGTGCTGTCGCTGACTCTAGCTTTTAAGGAGGAGTTTTGCAAGGTCCCTGGCTGTCCAGTGGTTAAGACTCAGTGCTTTCACTTCGGAGGGTGCGGGTTCCATCCCTGGTCTGGGAATTAAGGTCCCGCAAGCTGTGCAGCGTGGCCAAAAAAAAAAAAGTGGCGGGTCGTCCCTAGCCAAGGGTACCCCCTTGAATGCCACTGTTCAAGGACGGCTCGCATTCCTTTCAGACGAGGTCTCCCGCAAGCTCTCTGACATGTATGGCCGGGAGCTCCGCGTGAAGCGCACCGTCGTGGAGCAGCTGGCGCACACGGCCGACCGTGACCTGGCCCTGAGCTACCTGTCCATGTGGCTGCACCAGCCCTATGTGGAGGGCGACAGCAGGCTGCTTCTGGAAAGCATGCTGCTTGAAACCGGGCACCGAGCGCTGTGACCTCCCGGCGCAGCTCCGCACTCCTCCGGGCTCTGGACCTCAGCTTCTGTAGCTCCCATGGCAGACGGTCTTTCGGGTGGGCCCTGTGCCGCACCCCGATCACGCCCCTACCGCACCCCGGGATCACGGCCCCTGCCGCACCCTGGGATCACGGCCCCTGCCGCACCCCGGGATCACGGCCCCTGCTGTACCCTGGGATCACGGCCTCTGTCGCAACCCAGGATCACACGCTGTGCTCTGGGGCAGCCACCCACTGACCTTAGGATCTTCCACCGCACCCCGGGATCACGGCCCCTGCCGCACCCCAGTCACAGCCCCTACCGCACCCTGGGATCATGGCCCCTGCCACACCCCGATCACGCCCCTACCGCACCCCGGGATCACGGCCCCTGCCGCACCCCGGGATCACGGCCCCTGCTGTACCCTGGGATCACGGCCTCTGTCGCAACCCAGGATCACACGCTGTGCTCTGGGGCAGCCACCCACTGACCTTAGGATCTTCCAGACCTGATCATTTCACCAGCTCTCTGCGGTTATCACTGCTGCCTGCCATCCACCACTCAGCGTCATCTGCACCTATTGTGAATGTGTCACTATGAAGACTTCTGCCTGAAATAAATGAGTTCCTCAACAGAATGACTAAGTGATCTTGTTTTTGTAAATTAGGTGTATTTTACATAGATTACATTTATTTAGAAAATCCCTGGTTTAATATTTTTGCGTATTGTTTAAACTGTGGGACCGTATTAGTTTTGTAATCACAACTAATCTTTAAAGTACCATAGAGTCACTGAGCAAAGACCAGCATCATGGAAATGAAAACTGGCTACCAAAAAATTACCCCTATTTTTGTACTGAGGCAGTGACAGGCCAAGTGAAGTGTCTTCCATGTCATTCTCCGGGCATAAATCCTATAGTTTGGCAATATTTGCAACCAGATCTCCGGGGTCAGTCCTGCCATTGCTCCCCAGAAACAGAAATCTAAGAAACTTCATGCTGTGTGATACAGGATGTAGCCTCATGAAACTGAACTTCTAGCATCCCAGGCAAAGAAAGAAAATATTCCCAAAATAAAAGACTTTATATATGATGGGAATGTATTTTGAGCGAAAGGATATCTCACTGTGTAAGTTGGCATAGCCAAAGCATTTAAAGGCAACATGTCTTAGAATTTCTCTTTCCTTTGCAGTATTTATTAAAATCTAACCATCAGAAAAGCAGCCTGTCAGATGTCCTGCAGTCTGGAAACCGCCTGGTCAGCATTCAGCAAAAGTGGCACCCTGCCCCCTGCTTCCTGCAGCTTAGACAGCAGGCTGCAGTCCTGAGCCAGACAGGCGGGACGGGGCCCTCCGAGGCACGAGGTCAGTTTTATGTTTGGGGTGGGGTGTGGTTACTTAAAGAACAAATGCTCTTCAGAGGGGACGCTGAAGAATTTCTAGCCCTTTCTAGGACATTTCCCGTGTTCGTGATGCCTCGTCCTCGGACACCCAGGTTGCCCAGAAGAACTAATGGAAACGATCAGTGCTGCTGATGCCAAAACCCCACCTCTGTGCACTAGCACTGAATTGAATCTCGGAGACAGAGTTTGGGGTGAAGAAGAAAAGAAGAGCTTTGTTGCTTTGCCAGGCAAAGGGGGCCACAGCGGGCTCCTGCCCTCAAAACTGTGTCCCAGCCTGGGGTGGGTTTGCTGAGAAGGATGAGTGTGTGTGCAGGGCCCTCGTTCCTTCAGTCCAAATATCTGGCATCATCGAACTGTGGCCTCTCTGGAATAAAGAGTGCTTCATCAGGTAGTTAACGTCTTCTATTTGTTGGGGGTTTTAGTTCTGCAGAAGAGCTCAAAGGTATTGTTCTGTGTATCCCTTGAGGAGGAACCAGGACCCTGCCCTAAGGCTGCACTATTGTTTCTTGACTACTCCTCTTGTCTCTGCATCCCCTCCACTCCCTGATTAGCGGCTGTTTGAACCTGCCCTTTGGAACTCAGGGAAGGCCATGGAAGCTGAATGAAACCAATTTCCTACAAACAAGAAATGGGTGACATGGAAGGACTTGTGCCCAGGAGTCCCAAAGGGTCCTGCTCCGTTTCACTGCAAAGGACAAACAAGTGAATGAGCCAGGTGTCCAGTGGCATTAGGCCAGGGGTCCCTCACACAGCGGAAGAGGCATCAGATTGATGGAAGAGCTCTCGGCTGTTGAGTTTGCTGAGTTCCAAAGTCATTACACAACTATAGGACAATTTCTATCTGAAAGGAACAATGAAGCCATTGGAGAACCCATATTGGACTTCTAAGCATAGTGATTGATCACCAGGTATCTCCTCTGCCTCTGGAAATCTTGCGAAATAGACAGTAAAGAAATATTAACAGGTAGAATCCACAAAAACAGAACTGGGTTGGGGAAGCAGTTCACGATGACTTCACGATAAGTACATTTAATGAAAACTAAAAAAAAAATTCCCTCTCTCTCTCTTTCCAGGAAACACGAAAGCTTAGACAAACCATGAAAGTAATCACCAGGTACCGAACACAGCACAGCTGTGAACAACAGTGCATGTCATCAGTGATAATGTGACCTCTGTTGATCAACCACTCATGCTATTCACCAAATATTCCCAGACTCCTGCCTTCCCGGCCCATGGAAAGCCTGCGCTTCAGTGCCCTTGGGGTTGGGTGGGACCATGTGGCCACTGAAGTGCCTCTCGTGGTGGGTCTAACCGCTCCCGAGGCTCTCTCCCTCTGGTGGCGCCACCAGCAGTGCTTGAGATGTGGCTGCCCCTGCTGGGTCCCCCACCGACCTCTGCGTGACATGACTTGTGAGCAGGAGACACACACCCCTTTGTTGTTTCGAGCTGCTGAGGTTTATCAGAGCTGCTACTACCACCTCTCCAGACTGACCCGAAGCAATTTTAACGACTCTAGGGGGAGGCGTTTGGCTGGTCCTCCTTTGGTGTTGATTCTCTGCTTCATTTAAGTGTTAGCTGGCTATGGCTACCAGTTTAGGAGGAGGTTTCAGAGCCTTTTTTGCAGCAAGGTGTGGCCAAGGACCAATGAGATGTGAGCAGAGGCTTTGTGTGCGTCTCCCAGATCCCGACCCTCACAGGCTCCTCCGGGGGATGGAGCAGACACACGGGGCAGCGAGCCTTCTGAGACCTCTGGGAAGAGGGCCACCCTAGGTGCGGAAGCGACCTGGGTCTGGACCACCTCTGGAGCAGAGCCACTCAACTCCCTGAATGCCCACCGGCTCACATTTTTACTTGAGAGTAAAATGCTCTCATGCTCTGGATATGTCCCCCCAGGTTCGTGTGTTGAAGTCCTAACCCCCACACTCCAGGCCCCCAGGACTGGACCCCCAGTGGTTTCGCGCAGCTCTGGGTTCCCGAGAAGTGCCCGAGTCCACAGGATGTGCTGAAACTGAGCAGGGCCCTGTGGGGCTCCCAGGCATGGAGGCCTTCTTGTCCCCCGTTTCTTGTAGGCAAGACTCCAGCCTCCATGACCTCCCCTGAGTGCAAAGGGCAGGTTCGAACAGCTGCTAATCAAGGGAGGAGCGGCCAAGGCTAGGAGGCGAGATCACAGGGACCCGAGCAGCTCAGCAAGGCCTCGAGAAGCTCATCAAGGCTAGGAGGCCTGCGCCTGAGACCCCGCGGCCCCTCATCTTGTCAGCAACCCGGCCCTTGGGAGGTATTGTTATAAAACCCCTCATCAGATCCCCCCGGGCTGGGACACATAGTTTTCAGGGCAGGAGCCCGCTGTGCCCCCTTTGTCTGGCAGAGCAATAAAGCTATTCCTTTCTACTTCACCCAGAACCCTGTCTCTGAGGTTCGATTGGGCACCAGTGTACAGAGAAGCTGAGCTCTCGGCATCAGTGCCACGGCCTGACCCTCGAGCCCAACTCTCCTGAGCAGCTGTGGTTTACTCATTCCATCCTGCAGGGACGCCCGCCCTTCTGTTCCTGTTGGACCCGCTTTGATATCAAGTTAGAGGACAGGAAGACGCCCCCAGTCACTTGAGAGGGCTGTAGGCAATGTGGCCCCCCAAGAATAAAGCCCGCCCCTCCACAGCGGGCCTGACGGGAGCACAGCACCAGGGGGTGCAGCCCACAACCCGCAGCTCCGCCTGCCCGGGGCCTCTGCTGACCGTCTCTGCCAGCGGGGGCAGAGGACAGCTGTGCTCTCTTGATGCTGTCATCTGCGTGTGGGCAAATGGCCCTCCCTTTCTCTCCCTGTAATACAGCCAAGGAAAACATTCCAAAAAAAGGGAGATCTTGATAAGTGACTTTACATGTGGGACATCAAAGGACTGGGGGTCCCATCCCTATGCCTCACTTCCCTCATCCATAAAGTGTCAGTAGACACAACTTTCTTTCCTACTTCCCAATAAAATGCTGCCCAGATGGCAAGCTCACATATTTATTTTTTTATTGAGCCCAAAAGAAGCTTCTAGTATGGACCAAGTCTGGTGAAAGAGCAGCATATCACGGAAGAGAAAGGGGGCGTAGTTTTTTGGAACTGGGGAGCAGGGGAGATTCAAGAAATAGTGTAGTGGTATTAACTGCAACAGTGGTCAAAAGCTCCTAGGAGTTAGATGTATCGGGGATTTGTTATCAGGTAATGTATCTGCCATTATTACAATGAGAAAGATGTAGAAAAAGGTAGACAGTGGGGTAGAAAGACATTATTCTTTATAAATAAAATGTTCACTTGTGTCAGTATTCACATTAGAAAAATAAACATTCCTTGAAGTAGACCTCCAGGTAAAATACATACAAATCTAGGACTGCGGTTCTGGCTCCATTTCACTGAGAGGGCTCCGTTTCCATGGTTTCCAGAGGAACCCCTTCCGGGGGGCCCGGCTGCAGGGCAGGCCCCTCTGTGTCAGTCACTATGACAATGTCCCCCTCCCCAGACACTATGGAGCCTGGATGGGACAAGATATGCCCATCAGAAGTCTGGATAAATATCTGCTCCTGTCGCTGGGATGGCAACGTGGGGCCCCCACTGGCATTTT